AAGAAAGGAGACAAGACTGACCCAGGAAACTACAGGGGGATCACACTGTTGAACACAGTAGGAAAAGTGTTCTGTAAGCTGCTGAACGATAGGATAGTGGGAGAATTGGAGAAGGAACATAGCATAAGTTAGGGCCAGGCAGGTTTCCGAGAGAACAGGGGGTGCGTAGACCACGCATTCGCGGTAGGGAAAATCATCCAAGGTAGGAGTAGGGTGGGAAAGCCGACGTGCTGTTTCTTCCTGGACGTGAAAAAGGCATACGATGCCGTATGGAGAAATGGGCTGTGGAAACAACTGTCCGAGTACGTGATCAAGGGGAACATGTGGAGAGTGCTGAAGAAGATGACAGAGTGTACGAAAAGCGCGGTCATGCTAGACGGAGAACTGTTAAAATTCTTCGACATTGAGCAGGGGGTCCCACAAGGTTGCACGCTGTCCCCAACATTATTCCAGGTGTTCATCAACGATCTGGTGGAAGTCGTAGAGGCAGTCTGGAAGGGAGTAGAAGTAGGGGACACGGAAACCTCGGTGTCAGGAATGCTGTTGCGGATGATTTTGTCCGTATGTCGAGCACCCCTGAGGGACTGCAGCTGCAAATTGACACGGCGAAGGAGTTTACTAATAAGTGGAGATTGTCTGCCAACGTTAAGAAGAGTGCCGTCATGGTATGCAACGAGAACAAGGAGGAACCAGTAGAACAAAGGTGGAAGTGGGGGATCGAGGAGATTGCAGTAGTGGACCAGTACACATACCTCGGAGTAGAGATCGCANACCGTCAGGGCAGAATTGGGGATCCAATTCCTACGGTCGGGGAGAGACGCGAGGAAGCTGACATGGCAGTATCGCATGTGCGGGATGGGAGAGGAGAGGTTGCCGAGAATAGTATCGGAGGCGAAGTGGGCAAACGAAAAGAGAGGTAGACAACCCACGGAATGGGTCAAGGTTGTAGAGGACGTGTGGAAGGGGCTCGACATCGACGAAGATGAAACGCTGGAAACGGAGGGTTTACAGGGGTTCAAGGAGAATATATCTGTTGCTTGTGCCGAGAGAGAGGAGTATAATATAAGTAAAGAAACCAAGGATAAGGAGGGTCTAGAAGTGTACGGAATGTTGCAAGAAGAAATAGGGTTCAAGGACTACCTACATGGACCAATGGATGTAGGGACAAAACTTAAGGTCAAATTCCCATAGGCCTTCGAGGACATCGACGAAGAGATAGGACGGTAGACGACAAAGACACGTTCAATTGTGATTGCGGCTTCGAATGCGAAGACCGTGTTCATGTAGTCGCGGAATGTCCGTTGTTCAAGAAGGAGCGGGAAGTCTACGTGACTGAGCTGGGAAAAATACAAGGGTGGTACAGGGAGATATTTGAGGCATGGAATAGAGAGGAAAGGACGGCAGCTGTACTGGGGAGTAGGATTTTGTTTGAAAAGGCAGGAAGGGACATTGTTTGGATAGACAGACTAGGGAAGACATTTTGGAGCCACTGTTGGCAAAGTAGAAAGGAACGATTGGCCATCGGTTGTCGGTTCTGTGGGAACAATGATCCTTCCTCTCGAGGACGCGTGGTCAACAGCCTAATAGTCTAACCGCGCTAAGGCATGCCAAACATGCAAAACATAAGGAGTATACGCCAAGTAGATGGAGGGAAGGAGTGGTTGTGAACTTGTTCAAGAAAGGAGACAAGACTGACCCAGGAAACTACAGGGGGATCACACTGTTGAACACAGTAGGAAAAGTGTTCTG